GGTTTAAAGTTGCTTAACCATCCTGCAGATGCTGAAAAGTTGGTGATATCAAGTAAGTTAGCACACTCTACTGCTTTTTGTTGGATAATAGGCCCATTTATAGTTAAATTTCTTGAAATTTGTTGATCAACCCAAATGCTCATTACTTCTTCTAGTTATGGATAAACACTAGATTTTTCACGAAAATTATTTGCATTTGGTAAAGTGGTATCAATGGAAAGCCAATGTTCTGATCTTTTTAAAATATCGGAAACTGTGCTAGTGGAAATTCCATATTGTGCTGCTAATTGAACACCACTAAGTTTTTGATCTCTTTGTTTTTCGCAGAGTTCTTTCTTTTGAGCTAATGTTAAAGATTTCTTCTTTTTATTATTCGTATCTTTGTTTTCTCTCATGCTAAAGTATATTTTGAAAAAAAAAACAGTGAGAAAAATTGTTTGCCTAATTAATAAATGATTGACATAATTATTTCGGACTCCGAAAAAATTAATACGTCATATCAAGATTTTTTAATTATAGTTGATCTAGAATAAAATCCGATTTACGAAATATTGAGATTTTACTAATAAAGTCCGATATATCAAGACTGTTTTAATATAGATGATTTGGTTCCAGAAGAAAAATCCGAAATAGTGCCAAATCCGGTTTATCGAGGATCCGATTTATCGAGATTGCCTGTGTATATTAAAATGTTTTATAATAAAGTAGAATATTATGGTAAAGAAAATTAATTTATTATATAAAAATTCTGATATTATTTTTTTAAAATTAATTTATATTTAATTTTGGTAATTAATACTAAAAATATAAATCAATATAGTTGTAAAATTATAAAATATCATATGTCTGTAACATCCTGTTACACGTTTTTATCTGTAATAACCTCGGAATTGTCACGTGACGTTACACGAATTTCCAAAAAAGGAAATATTTTTCCCATCAAAATTGGGGAAACCTGCTGCACAAGTGTTCCACAAATTTCCAAAAAAGGAAATTTTTAGAGTGTGCCATTAATTCCGGCCGAAATTATACTTTTGTGTTAAATTTTGCAATTAATCTAAAATTAGCGTTAATTTTGGTCAAAATGATATCAAATCCGTGACATTACGTAGTAATTGTGATGCTACACGAGTCGCGTGATGACGCGTTATTGAAAAACTTATTTGTTACCTTTATTTGTCACTTGTTATACACGTATCATCTTTAATTAATTCTCACACTATTCTCACGGTATAACACTTCGCTCACTTTATTTACTTCATCTTTTTTTTTTACAAGTTCTTTTTTTTTACCCTTTACAAAACGAAGTATCATATCGAGATGGACGTATCTGAATTGAATATCCAAGAATCCATTATCATGTTTATGACACCTCATGAGGGTATGTAAGTTCTTTATTTATGTACTTTGAGTAGGTACAATATCATTTCTTATTCTGGAACATACAAACCCAGAAGAGGAATCAGGAAAAGTATGCCAGGATGATACTAATATGGGTATGTTGTGTTTCTTATGATATACCTAATTTATTTTGCAATATTCATACTTTTCATTTTCTCATATAGAACAGGTTGAGCCGAGCGATATAGTACCTCAGAACCTAGAAAGTGAAGGTATGATTATTAATTTCTCCATGTAAAGATATAACAATCGGCTAAAAGCACTAACAAACAATATCACTTTACCTTGAAGATTCAACT